GTCTCCCTCTCTTCTACACACCCTAACCTGAGCCTCACTATCCTCATAAAAACTCTTTACTGCATTTAATAACTTACCACCTATTCCATATCCTTGCAACATCTGCCACATTGCTCCTCTATCCACTCTATCATATGCCTTTTCTAAATCCATAAATGCAATAAAAACTTCCCTACCTTTATCTAAATACTGTTCACATAAATGCTTCAATGTGAACACTTGATCTACACATCCCCTACCCACTCTGAAACCTCCTTGCTCATCCGCAATCCTACATTCTGTCTTACCTCTAATTCTTTCAATTATAACCCTACCATACACTTTTCCTGGTATGCTCAGTAAACTTATTCCTCTATAATTTTTACAATCTCTTTTGTCCCCTTTCCCTTTACATAAAGGGACTTTACATGCTCTCCGCCAATCCCCAGGTACCTTCCCCTCTTTCATACATTTATTAAACAAAAGTACCAACCACTCCAACACTATATCCCCCCCTGCTTTTAACATTTCTGTCATGATCCCATCAGTTCCAGCTGCTTTACCCCCTTTCATTCTACGTAATGCCTCACGTACCTCCCCCACACTTACATTCTGCTCTTCTTCATTCCTAAAAGAGGGTATACCTCCATGACCAGTGCATGAAATTACCGCCTCCCTTTCTTCTACACTGCAATAAAGAAAAAAGAAGTCCCACTGGGGATCTTCATTGACTTACGTAAAGCTTTTGATACAGTTGACCATGACTTGCTCCACGTAAAATTGTCACACTATGGTATTAGAGGGCACTCCCTCAACTACCTCAAGTCTTACCTCAGCAACAGAAGCCAATATGTGTACGCAAATGGGGCAAACTCTTCTGCACAACCAATTACAGTTGGTGTCCCACAGGGAAGCGTCCTTGGCCCTCTTCTCTTTCTCCTATACATAAATGACCTACCAAATGCTTCGCATTTACTCAAACCCACACTTTTTGCAGATGACACCACATACGTCTTCTCTCACCCGAGCCCAGTCACGCTAGCCAATACTGTAAACACCGAATTACAGAAAATATCTACCTGGATGAGGACTAACAAACTTACACTAAACACTGACAAAACCTACTTCATTCAGTTTGGTAACAGAGCTACAGATGTACCTCTTAACATAACGATAAACGGATCACCTATCACAAAGCTAACAGAGGGAAAATTCTTAGGAATCCACCTCGATAATAGACTCAAATTTCATACACATATACAACAAATTTCTAAGAAAATTTCCAAGACTGTAGGCATACTATCGAAGATACGGTACTATGTTCCATAGTCAGCCCTCCTGACCCTTTATCACTCTCTTATTTACCCCTATCTCACCTATGGAATTTGTGCATGGGGCTCAACAACAATTAACCATCTCAGACCACTAATTACCCAACAAAAGGCTGCAGTTAGAATGATAACAAATTCTCACTACAGGCAGCACACTCCACCAATATTCAAAACACTCAACCTACTCACCATACAAAACATCCATACTTATTATTGCACTTATTACATACATAGAACACTTAACTCTGATATTAACTCTCCCCTCAAACATCTCCTTGCCAACCTCAACAGAACACATGACCATAACACAAGGCACAGATCACTCTTTGATGTTCCTCGTGTCCATCTCACGCTATGCAAAAACTCAATGCACATAAAAGGCCCTAAAATCTGGAATTCATTACCTGTAAATATAAAAGAAACACTACCTGTTTATAAATTCAAGTCTCTTCTCAAAGTTCACTTACTCACTCAAAACCAAATAAATACTGAATAACTTAACCATATAAATTGTATATCCTAAATGTTACTCACAATTATATCACACAAATGTTAAACCTAGGACCCAATCTAACTTTGTTATTTTTTTAAATACACTACCTAACAGAATACTCCATTCTACTGAATGAACAGCAATGCATGCAACCATATGACCTGTCTTTGTAATACTCATTTGTACTTTATAGTTATCTGTTTACAATAATGTCTTATCACTGATTTCATCATTGCTTAGTTAAATCTTAAGTTAATTTTAAGCCAGCCCGTAATGCTATGCATATAAGTGGCTTTGGCATGCTGCTCTTACCTGTATTTTTTTTTGTACCTCTGTATGTATGCTAAAATTTCTAAATAAATAAATAAATAAATAAATAAATAAATAAATTTAAATTTATATTTTTATTATCACACCGGCCGATTCCCACCAAGGCAGGGTGGCCCGAAAAAGAAAAACTTTCACCATCATTCACTCCATCACTGTCTTGCCAGAAGGGTGCTTTACACTACAGTTTTTAAACTGCAACATTAACACCCCTCCTTCAGAGTGCAGGCACTGTACTTCCCATCTCCAGGACTCAAGTCCGGCCTGCCGGTTTCCCTGAATCCCTTCATAAATGTTACTTTGCTCACACTCCAACAGCACGTCAAGTATTAAAAACCATTTGTCTCCATTCACTCCTATCAAACACGCTCACGCATGCCTGCTGGAAGTCCAAGCCCCTCGCACACAAAACCTCCTTTACCCCCTCCCTCCAACCCTTCCTAGGCCGACCCCTACCCCGCCTTCCTTCCACTACAGACTGATACACTCTTGAAGTCATTCTGTTTCGCTCCATTCTCTCTACATGTCCGAACCACCTCAACAACCCTTCCTCAGCCCTCTGGACAACAGTTTTGGTAATCCCGCACCTCCTCCTAACTTCCAAACTACGAATTCTCTGCATTATATTCACACCACACATTGCCCTCAGACATGACATCTCCACTGCCTCCAGCCTTCTCCTCGCTGCAACATTCATCACCCACGCTTCACACCCATATAAGAGCGTTGGTAAAACTATACTCTCATACATTCCCCTCTTTGCCTCCAAGGACAAAGTTCTTTGTCTCCACAGACTCCTAAGTGCACCACTCACTCTTTTTCCCTCATCAATTCTATGATTCACCTCATCTTTCATAGACCCATCCGCTGACACGTCCACTCCCAAATATCTGAATACGTTCACCTCCTCCATACTCTCTCCCTCCAATCTGATATTCAATCTTTCATCACCTAATCTTTTTGTTATCCTCATAACCTTACTCTTTCCTGTATTCACCTTTAATTTTCTTCTTTTGCACACCCTACCAAATTCATCCACCAATCTCTGCAACTTCTCTTCAGAATCTCCCAAGAGCACAGTGTCATCAGCAAAGAGCAGCTGTGACAACTCCCACTTTGTGTGTGATTCTTTATCTTTTAACTCCACAAAATATTCTCAACTTCTCTTCAGAATCTCCCAAGAGCACAGTGTCATCAGCAAAGAGCAGCTGTGACAACTCCCACTTTGTGTGTGATTCTTTATCTTTTAACTCCTCAAAATATTCTCGCCATCTACCCAATACCTCCATCTCCCCATCTACTAACTCCCCTACTCTGTTTTTAACTGACAAATCCTTACTTTCCCTAGGCTTTCTTAACTTGTTCAACTCACTCCAAAATGTTTTCTTATTTTCATTAAAATTTCTTGACAGTGCCTCTCTCACTCTATCATCTGCTCTCCTTTTGCACTCTCTCACCACTCTCTTCACCTTTCTTTTACTCTCCATATACTCTGCTCTTCTTATAACACTTCTGCTTTGTAAAAATCTCTCATAAGCTCACTTTTTCTCTTTTATCACACCCTTTACTTCATCATTCCACCAATCACTCCTCTTTCCTCCTGCCCCCACCCTCCTATAACCACAAACTTCTGCCCCACATTCTAATACTGCATTTTTAAAACTATTCCAACCCTCTTCAACCCCCCCACTACTCATCTTTGCACTAGCCCATCTTTCTGTCAATAGTCGCTTATATTTCACCCAAACTTCCTCCTCCCTTAGTTTATACACTTTCACCTCCCTCTTACTTGTTGTTGCCACCTTCCTCTTTTCCCATCTTCCTCTTACTCTAACTGTAGCTACAACTAAATAATGATCTGATATATCAGTTGCCCCTCAATAAATATGTACATCCTGGAGCCTACGCATCAACCTTTTATCCATCAATACATAATCTAACAAACTACTTTCATTACATGCTATATCATACTTGTATATTTATTTATCCTCTTTTTCATAAAATATGTATTACTTATTACCAAATCTCTTTCTACACATAGCTCAATTAAAGGCTCTCCATTTACTTTTAGCCCTGGCACCCCAAATTTACTTACTACTCCCTCCATAACATTTTTACCCACTTTAGCATTGAAATCCCCAACCACCATTACTCTCACACTTGGTTCAAAACTCCCCACGCATTCACTCACCATTTCCCAAAATCTCTCTCTCTCTCCTCTACACTTCTCTCTTCTCCAGGTGCATACACGCTTACTATAACCCACTTTTCACATCCAATCTTTATTTTACTCCACATAATCCTTGAATTAATACATTTATAGTCCCTCTTTTCCTGCCATAGCTTATCCTTCAACATTATTGCTACTCCTTCTTTAGCTCTAACTCTATTTGAAACCCCTGACCTAATCCCATTTATTCCTCTCCATTGAAACTCTCCCACCCCCTTCAGCTTTGTTTCACTTAAAGCCAGGACATCCAGCTTCTTCTCATTCATAACATCCATAATCATCTCTTTCTTATCATTTGCACAACATCCACGCACATTCAGACTTCCCACTTTGACAATTTTCTTCTTCTTATTCTTATTTTAGAAATATGATGACAAAAGCTTTTAACAATAACTTTTTTTTTTTGTGGTCACTTAGGATGTTTCATTAGTGTCATAAGGAAATAACAGGAAACATAGATAAAGAAAACACTTGACTTAAATCAAAGCACGAGAGTTTATGGGAATACATATATGAAGTAATAATGGCTTAGAGGTTAGTGGAACCGATATATATACACTTGAAGCTCAAGTTGTTTTATTTGTACCTAAGATATACGCTGCAGAACTCATAGCTGAAATCCCTGTAGAACATAAATTACCTGTGAATGATGTGCTTGGAATGAAGATAGGAGAGTCCTTGCAGCACGTCTTTTACAACCAGTGCAAGTGCAGGCTCTGGAAGACCTTCAGAGAAATGTGTGGCAACGAGACGCGACGCTGAGGTGTAGCCTAGTAACGGCATGACTATCCATAGTTGTTGTGAATATGTAAAGGAGGCCAAATACTGGATGATATTTCGATGTCTGAGCTGCTTGACCATCCGAATCTCATGCTGTAAAGTACATCCAGTGCTGCTTAGTAAGAAATGCTGTAAACTTAAATGCATTATTGATATTATCATGCAGGAATAAATATAATGTATTATACCTACTTTAGCAACAAACATTATGCATGACAGGATTAGGATTATTATAATAAAAAAATGAAGAGCTAAACCTACAAGGGTCATACAGTGCAGCAGGGCAGGGAAGGGTGCAGGTGTATTGGGTAGCAGGAGAGAAAGGGATTATTATTAGGTCATACAATGCAGTGGGGCAGGGGATAGTGCAGGGGTAGAAGGTAGCAAGAGGGAGAGACAGAAAGGGCTGTAAGGAATGCTAGAGACAGAATCATCAAAGTCCCAAAGTACCGGGTTTACAAAAAGGTAGTACAATGGCAGATTTCCACAGCTGGGGAAGAACTCCTCACAGCCAAATAATATTAAAGGTAGAAGGTTGGTAGACAGCAGCCACCCAGGGAGGTACGTACTACCATCCTGCCAAGTGAGTGTGAGACGAAAGCCTGTAATTGTTTTACATGATGGTAGGATTGCTGGTGTCTTTTGTCTGTCTCATAAATATGCAACCTTACAGGTACGTCTTGCTACTTCTACTTACACTTAGGTCACACTACACATACATGTACATGTTTATTTATACACACTCATCTGAGTTTTCTTTGATTTTATCTAAATAGCTCTTGGTCTTATTGCTTTTCCTTTTATATCCATGGGGAAGTGGAATAAGAATCTTTCCTCCGTAAGCCATGCGCGTTGTAAAAGTCAACTAAAATGACGGGAACAACGGGCTAGTAACCCCTTTTCCGTAACGATTACTAAAAAGAATAAGAAGAAGAAAATTGTCAAAGTGGGAAGTCTGAATGTGCGTGGATGTTATGCAAATGATAAGAAAGAGATGATTGTGGATGTTATGAATGAGAAGAAGCTGGATGTCCTGGCTTTAAGTGAAACAAAGCTGAAGGGGGTGGGAGAGTTTCAGTGGAGAGGAATAAATGGGATAAGGTCAGGGGTTTCAAATAGAGTTAGAGCTAAAGAAGGAGTAACAATAATGTTGAAGGATAAGTTATGGCAGGAAAAGAAGGACTATAAATTCATTAATTCAAGGATTATGTGGAGTAAAATAAAGGTTGGATGTGAAAAGTGGGTTATAGTAAGTGTATATGCACCCAGAGAATAGAGAAGTGTAGAGGAGAGAGAGAGATTTTGGGATATGTTGAGTGAATGCATGAGGAGTTTTGAACCAAGTGTGAGAGTAATGGTGGTTGGGGATTTCAATGCTAAAGTGGGCAAAAATGTTGTGGAGGGAGTAGTAGGTAAATTTGGGGTGCCAGGGGTAAATGAAAATGGGGAGCCTTTAATTGAGCTATGTGTAGAAAGAGGGTTGGTAATAAGTAATACATATTTTATGAAAAAGAGGATAAATAAATATACAAGGTATGATATAGCACGTAATGAAAGTAATTTGTTAGGTTATGCATTGGTGGATAAAAGGTTGATGGGTAGGCTCCAGGATGTACACGTTTATAGAGGGGCAACTGATATATCAGATCATTATTTAGTTGTAACTACAGTTAGAGTAAGAGGTAGATGGGAAAAGAGGAAAATGGCAACAACAAGTAAGAGGGAGGTGAAAGTGTATAAACTAAGGGAGGAGGAAGTTAGGACGAGATATAAGCAACTATTGGCAGAAAGGTGGGCTAGTGCAAGTATGAGTAGTGAAGGGGGGGTTGAAGAGGGTTGGAATAGTTTTTAAACTGCAGTATTAGAATGTGGGACAGAAGTTTGTGGTTATAGGAGGGTGGGTGCAGGAGGAAAGAGGAGTGACTGATGGAATGATGAAGTAAAGGGTGTGATAAGAGATAAAAAGTTAGCATATGAGAGGTTTTTACAAAGCAGAAGTGTTATAAGAAGAGTAGAGTAAATGGAGAGTAAGAGAAAGGTGAAGAGAGTGGTGAGAGAGTGCAAAAGGAGAGCAGATGAAAGAGTGGGAGAGGCACTGTCAAGAAATTTTAAGAGCAGATGAAAGAGTGGGAGAGGCACTGTCAAGAAATTTTAATGAAAATAAGAAAACATTTTGGAGTGAGTTGAACAAGTTAAGAAAGCCTAGGGAAAGTATGGATTTGTCAGTTAAAAACAGAGTAGGGGAGTTAGTAGATGGGGAGAGGGAGGTATTATGTAGATGGCGAGAATATTTTGAGGAACTTTTAAATGTCGAGGAAGAAAGGGAGGAGGTAATTTCATGCACTGGCCAGGGAGGTATACCATCTTTTAGGAGTGAAGAAGAACAGGATGTGAGTGTAGGGGAGGTGCGTGAGGCATTACGTAGAATGAAAGGGGGTAAAGCAGCTGGAACTGACAGGATCATGACAGAAATGCTAAAAGCAGGGGGGATATAGTATTGGAGTGGTTGGTATTTTGCTTAATAAATGTATGAAAGAGGGGAAGGTACCTAGAGATTGGCGGAGAGCATGTATAGTCCCTTTATATAAAGGGAAGGGGACAAAAGGGATTGTAAAAATTACAGAGGAATAAGTTTACTGAGTATACCAGGAAAAGTGTACGGTACGGTTATAATTTAAAGAATTAGAGGTAAGACAGAATGTAGGATTGCAGATGAGCAAGGAGGTTTTAGAGTGGGTAGGGGATGTGTAGATCAAGTGTTTACATTGAAGTATATATGTGAACAGTATTTAGATAAAAGTAGGAAAGTTTTTATTGCATTTATGGATTTAGAAAAGGCATATGATAGAGTAGATAGGGGAGCAATGTGGCAGATGTTGAAAGTAAATGGAATAGGTGGTAAGTTACTAAATGGTGTAAAGAGTTTTTATGAGGATAGTGAGTCTCAGGTTAGGGTGTGTAGAAGAGAGGGAGACTACTTCCTGGTAAAAGTAGGTCTTAGACAGGGATGTGTAATGTCACCATGGTTGTTTAATATATTTATAGATGGGGTTGTAAAGACACAGTTGTTTTTTGCTGATGATACTGTGCTTATGGGAGATTCTAAAGAAAAATTGCAAAGGTTAGTGGACGAGTTTGGGAGTGTGTGTAAAGGTAGAAAGTTGAAAGTGAACATAGAAAAGAGTAAGGTGATGAGGGTATCAAATGATTTAGATAAAGAAAAATTGGATATCAAATTGGGGAGGAGAAGTACGGAAGAAGTGAATGTTTGCAGATATTTGGGAGTTGACGTGTAGGCGGATGGATTTATGAAGGATGAGGTTAATCATAGAATTGATGAGGGAAAAAAGGCGAGTGGTGCGTTGAGGTATATGTGGAGACGAAAATGTTATCTATGGAGGCAAAGAAGGGAATGTATGAAAGTATAGTAGTACCAACACTATTATATGGGTGTGAAGCTTGGGTTGTGAATGCAGCAGCGAGGAGGCGGTTGGAGGTAGTGGAGATGTCCTAAGGGCAACGTGTGTAAATATTATGAAGAAAATTCGGAGTGTGGAAATTAGGAGAAGGTGTGGAGTTAATAAAAGTATTAGTCAGAGGGCTGAAGAGGGGTTGTTGAGGTGGTTTGGTCATTTAGAGAGAATGGATCAAAGTAGAATGACATGTAGAGCATTTAAATCTGTAGGGGAAGGAAGGCAGGGTAGGGGTCGTCCTCGAAAAGGTTGGAAGGAAGGGGTAAGGGAGGTTTTGTGGGCGAGAGGCTTGGACTTCCAGCAGGCGTGCGTGAACATGTTCGATAGGAGTGAATGGAGACAAATGGTATTTGGGACCTGACGATCTGTTGGAGTGTGAACAGGGTAATATTTAGTGAAGGGATTCAGGGAAACTTTTTATTTTTATATAGCCAGACTTGAGTCCTGGAAATAGGAAGTGCATGTACAATGCCTGCTCTCTTAAGGAGTGGTTCGGGATATTGGCAGTTTGGAAGGACATGTTGTATATCTTTATATGTACAGTATATGCTTCTAAACTGTTGTGTTCTGAGTACCTCTGCAAAAACAGTGATTATGTGTGAGTGAGGTGAAAGTGTTGAATGATGATGAAAGTATTTTCTTTTTGGGGATTTTTCTTTCTTTTTGGGTCACCCTGCCTTGGTGGGAGACGGCCGACTTGTTAAAAAAAAAAAAATGTAAGAGGACCGCAAGGGCTGATGGCTGTAAATGTTGGAGCATACAGATATGAATGCCGTCCGGCCCAGCTGCCGATGATCGACAAGCGAAGAGTGCTGACTAATTCTAGAAGTGTATAAGGCACATTATAAGACTTCTCCACTAGAAGAAAAGTCTAAGAGCTCAAACTCTCTGGCAGATTTGGAGGAAAGAGACGAGGGGTAGAGATGGAGCCCCTGGGAGCTACAGACAAGATGATGACCAAGTTCTGTGACAACGTCAAGAGGGTTAGCTATAGCAACACCAGCATCCCAAAGGACAGGAGCCAGGTCAGGAGTGTATTTGCCACTCAGTTTCAAACGTACTGCACGAGCACAGGCAGGAGACCAATGAGGTATGCACTTCTGAAAGTGCCTGCCCAATGTTTGGGGTATAGAATGTGAAGCTGTGGTTATAACTGAAGTTGAGAATAGGTTTAACAGCTCATCAGCAAAGGATGAGGAAGGAACCTCACTAGAAGCAGTATGACACAAGTACTGGTCCTAATGAGCTCGGTCAAATTGCCAGCATGGGTGATGAGGGGGTGGAGAATATGAATGAGAAGTAAGAAGGATTAGAAAATGAACACTGTCATCTACGTCTGGGAGCACAGTCAATCTAAAGTCTAGTGCAGCTGAGGAATAGCAAACTGAGAGAATGATGCAAGAGAGAGATCAAGTACGAGGGTCAAAATGGGTGGGAGCACCCATATTTAAAAAGTGGAGAAGGAGAGAAGCGAAAAGAACCTTTAACTGAATGCCACGAGTCACTGAGAAACCCCCTAGAGGAAATGGTGAGTGTTAAAAATGCCGAGTAACAGAAGCGGTTGCAGTAAGAAAGAAACCAGAAATGCAACATCTGGAATACATAGTGCCTGAGAAGAAGAGAGATGCAAAGAACAGACTGTATACCACTTATTCAAGTAGATGCATGCTGCAGTGTAATACAGCGAAGTATGAACAAAGGAGCTGATGGTATGGGATACCTGTGCATATAAGAAGTGCACTGTCATTAAAGGTTCCATTGGGAAAAGGATCTGATGAATATAATAAAACATAGCCCAAGATGGGATGGACAACTGCAGAGTGTAATTTGGGTTCTTGTAAACAAGCACAGATGGGAAAACTGGGAGAGCAACACCTGAAGCTCACCTCGGTTACTTCTGAGGCCTCGGATATTGCACTGTAAATAAGCCATGATTTGCGAAAGAAAGATACAAGAAATATGAAGGAAGAGGTATCTACAGACTAGAAGGGTTAGCAAAATCCACATGTTGAGGCAGCGGAAAACAAACAAGCAGCAAAGGGTTGAAACGCTGTGAAGAAAGGAGTTGCATAGATGGAGAAGAGCAAAGAGTAGCGACAGGAGGTAGATCAGTGTCCATCAATGGTTTAGTCTCCTCAATATAGTCAGAGATAGCTTCAAGAGTTTCAGGGGGCAAAGATGTTGTATGTGGGATGATATTGGAGATAGAAAGAGGAGGGCGAGTAAAGATCAGGGCGATGATGGAATTTACCAACATACGGCAAGGACGAGAGGGCAGAGGTAACTTGAGAAAAAGCTTAGGAGGAGACAGGAAAGGAAGAAACTTGGGAGGGGACAGGCAAGGAAGGTACTGTATGAGGGGAAGGATGGACCTCCATGCTCACAACAGAATGAGTAAGTGGTCAAGATCCAAGTACTGAGACTGGAAATGAAAGAGATTTACCCTTTGGGGATTTGTTGGACTTTGAAGGAGAAAGGTGAGGGGGAGGAGCTGTTGTGTGAGGTCTTGTAGGCATAGAAGCTTGTGTGTAAGATGAAGATTGGAGAACAGCATGAGGTGACGAGGCAGGGACCTCATAGTCCAAACCATACCACAGGCGGGATTTGAACCCGCGGTCAGAGAGTCTCAAAACTCCAGACCGTCGCGTTAGCCACTGGCCCAGTGGCTAACGCGATGGTCTGGAGTTTTGAGACTCTCTGACCGCGAGTTCAAATCCCGCCCATGGTATGGTTTGTTTGCAATCGTGTCATTACGATTTCATGAGTCTCATAGTCCAAGACTGCGAAAGAGTTAGATACAGAGGTGGCTGTGGAAGGTGTGACCACAGGGAAGACCACAGGAATTGGGGCCCCAGAGGCTGAGGGTCTCTTAGTAACTCAAAAATAAGAAATACAGAAGTGTCCCCTGGAGGCGTAGATGAGAGACTGACATGGCGTAAGTTAAGCCTTCTGTCTCTCGGAGACAACCGATTTCATGTTCATTCAAGTAAACCTGGCAACGACGAGAATAAGATGGATGAGCTTCACGACAATTAAGGCAGGAGGGAGATAGACCACAAGATGTATTAGTATGGTCATCGGCCCCACAGACTGGGCATTCAGCCATGGACCTGCAATATTTCACCGGATGGCCAAAACGCCAGCAATTTCTACAATGTTGTGGTGTAGGGGGTCACCTGTTGGACATGTAAATGGTGTCCCAAAATATAAACCAATGATGGAAGCTTATGGCAATCAAAAGTTAAGCAAGCTACAATGCAGGGGTAGCATCTCCACCCACAGGCAAGCAGTACAGTCTATTTCAATTATAATTATAATAAGAAATGAAGTGCTAAACTTACAAGGGTCATACAGTGAAGCAGGGCAGGAAAGGGTGCAGGGGTACTGGGTAGCAAAAGGGAGAGGGATTATAATTAGGTCACGCAGTGCAGCTGGGCAGGGGATAATGCAGGGGTAGAGGGCAGCACGAGGGAGAGGTAGAAAGGACCTGCGAGAAGTGCTAGAGGCATCATCATCAAAGTTTGTGCAGTAAATCAGTTGCTGTCAAAAAGTCAACAAGAGAGTTTGGGTTAAAGGAGGGCCCATCAGCAAGAAGGGAAAATAAAGTAAGAGCATTAGAGCAGTTACAACGTCGGAGGTAAATTTTGCGTGCTCACTGATAGTGGGGGCAGTCCAACAGAATATGGCTAACAGAAACAGGTCACCTCTCCATGAGATACCCATGAGTAAGATGAGTGTGGCCAATTTGAAGACAGGAGAGTGTAGCCTCCCAACCCTGACACTGATGACAAGAAGATGGCCCGAAACCTATACTTAATTTAATGGAATGCAATTTGTTATGTAGCAGATCAGACCAACGTTATTGCCAATGGCTGCAAAGGTGGGTAGAAATCACAGCAAAATAGTCTGTGAATGAAACACCTCTATATGAAACTGGGAGGTCATGTACAGCTGACCATGCAGTAGTGTCTGCCTGTTCATTGCCCTGTACATCAACATAACTGGGGACCCAGCCAAAAACAATATCTTTGTGCTTGCTAAAGATATGACCTAACCAAAGTTGGATACGGAGGACCAGGGGATGAGGTGAATCAAATTTTCGTATAGCCTTCAAAGCATTAAGGGAGTCTGAAACTACCACAAACGGCAAAACAGGCATACATGCAATATGGATAAGTGCTACGAGAATTGCATACAATTCTGCTGTAAAAATGCTAGCCAAGGCTAATAAATGCCCTTGTACAATGTTGTCTGGAAATACTGCTGCAAATCTGACACCATCAGAAGACCTGGAACCATTGGTGTACACTGCGATGGCATGATAATGAGACTGGAAGTGATTAGGAAACAGAGAGCGAGAAGCAACCATAGGTATTTAGGCTTTCACGCATGGCAGTGGGGAAGAACAGACATGAACCATCAGAACGTCCCAAGGAGGAAGGGAAAAGTTAGATGCTACATGAACATAGAAAAGTGGCAACTGAAGAGTAGACAAGTGTGAATGTAGACGAAGAGAAAAGGGATGGAGTGAACAGAGGCAGCAAACAAATAAGGAACTTCTATTAACAACCGTTATCATCCTATACAATGTATATGAGAGGATTGCGGAGGTCATGAGAGCAAACAAAATAGCGGAGGCAATGAGCATCACGGCGATCGGTCAAGGATGGAATACTCACTTCTGCATAGTGTCTCTCAACAGGTGAAGAGCAGAAAGCACCAAAGCATAAATGTAATCCTTGATAATGGATGGGATCAAGGCTAGAAAGAGTTGTAGGAGAAGCCACTGAATATATCTGGTCACCATAACCTAGTTTCAATAAAATTAGGGGAGAATACAGTCAAAAGAGAGTTCTACGATAAGCCCCCCATGAAAGATGAGCAAGGATTGTGTCTACTTTAAAGATTGGGAGGTCTTGGAGCTCAAGCTATTCCAGAATGTCATCACCATATGTCTGGAAATTATGTTGTATGTGGTAGAATGACAGTACCACTACAAGAATTGAGAGAATGATGTTTTTCAATTGTTACAGGAATGGCATCTATGGTTGTAAGGAGAGAAAGATCATGAGCTTGGCTAGCATTCTGTACTGTGACGATGCATGCACCACTCTTGAGAGCATGAAAAGGAATATTACAACCAACATGGCATAGTGGTATCAACCTTGTTGATAATATGATCAGAAAGACATTCTGAAAATGTCAGTTGTAGAGTGGAAAACTTTGTCCATTGTGTACTATGACGGGTAGTATGTAAAGGAAGTGATTGCTGTGTTGGTCTTTTCTGAGTAGAATTAGAGGCAGTTGAAATACTGTCATCAGAAGGAGGTCGTGGTCATTTAGATGCAGGATTCGAGGTGGTCCGTTTTGGGGAGGGCATGTGATCCAAAAACCGTTGCACCATATGGGGAGAGTCCAGAAACATTCAAAGACGTGTGGAAGTCGGAGGTGTCAAAGGAATCAGACCGAACCTCTGTATCCAGAGCGTGGAACAAAATGTCACCCGCAGAAGGTACAGGGGCAGGAGAAAGGTCCAAAGAATGGTCCGATAACAAGGCAGGGTCGTCAGAGGGTGCTGCTACAGGAAGGGGCCCAGGAGGAGGAAGTACATGGACTTGGGACTCAATGGTTAAGTCTCTCTTTTCTTTTTAAGAAAAAAGAAAAAAAAAGGGGGGGCAAGTGTGGAGGGGCAGCTCCCAGGAAGAAAGGACTGCAAGTCTCCCCTTCCGTGTCCAAGAAGACAACCTCAGAGCAGTCAGCAGTGCAGATGTGGCATGGAACCCGTGCCATACCCTACCCTTCAAGCCAGTAAACCAGCAATCCAGGATAGCAACCTCACAACCGAGCCACCTCAGCACACAAAAGGGAGGGCAGTCGGAAACCCAGCACAAGGCATACCTCTTTCAGCCACCACCACCTGGAATCTGACAGGTAGCCTCCAGAGATATACCCGTCAGCTAAAAGACACCCGAAGCCTCCCCCCCGGTAGACCAGAGAGGAATCAGGATCTCTAGACGATCCATATTCTACAGCAAACTACACTACCACCAAGGACCTCAACGGAAGGAGATGGACCCCGGAACCCCATCTCAGGTCTAGGAACTACAAAGCTTTAAGGAACAACCTTAAATCAGAAACAGAAAAGGCAAAGTGGAGGGATGGGGAGAGGTGGAGGAAAGGGAAAGGGGCAATGGGGAGGATGGGATAGGGAAGGGGGGATTGGGGGGTAATTAGGATCAGTCTGAGGAAGAAGACCAAAAGGTCTAATTCCTCAGACCAAGAGCCTCTTCACCATGCCAAGGAGCCCCCCTTGAAGAGTAGGATTAGGTTTAATTTTATAGTCTTTGTATACTCTTTGTATGAGTCATTACAAGGTACAAACACTATTTGTATCAGAGTTATACTATACAAAAAGCAGGACAGGAGTGAGAAAAGTCTAACACACATCAATCAGAAATACAATTACATTATTTTGTCTCATAAAATGCTGGAGATAAAGAAGTACCGTAGCTACCTGGATCAACTCAAACTCATCCTCACACTTGTCCAACTCGTAGATCTTGAGAGCAACATGGTTGTTTGATGGTTTGTATCGGGCTACCCACACTGTGCCCTTGCCGCCACACACAGAGCCAAGAGGGCTCCACACATCGTAGCTCTCCGTCGATGCCTCAAAGGACACCATGCTGGGAGAGCGCACCTCCAATGCAAAGCTCTCTGATTTTATGCGGCTCTAAGAGAAAAGTTCTGATGAATTATCATTTGGTACGAAAAGTTTACACAATTCATGAAGACAGCTCAATTACACACACATTTCTAGGGTAACACGAATTTTCACAAATAACCCACAGTTAGGAGAGGGAAAGTAATGATGACATTTCAGTCTGACTTGGATCACTGACTAATAACAATAAAGTGAGAAGGGAAGATCAGTATAGGAGGGGGGAGCAGGGAAAGATAGGAGGAGGAAGAGAAGGGGTGGTGGTGGTACTAGTAGTATTGTTGAAAGTGAAAGTACTAGTGGTGGTGGTAGTGGTAGTAGTAGTAGCAGTAGTAGTAGTGGAAGTGGTGGCGGCGGCGGCGGCGGTGGTGGTGGTGGTAGTAGTAGGTAGAATTAGTAGTACTGCAGTGGTAGAGGTAGAAATAATAAGGTAGCAGAAGTAATAGTGGTGGAAAACTAGGGGGTAAAATAATGGCAGAGATTATAGTAGTAATGAAGGAATAATAATAGTATACAGTGGAACCGTGAGTTTCGGTGGTAGTCTGGTCCAGGAGCTGGAGACCTAAACTCAAAACGGCCAAAAGGCGAAGCAATATTTCCCATAAGAAATAATGTAAATACTACAATTAATCCATTCCAGACCCACAAAAATATTCACAAAAAGTACATTTTTTAAAGAATAACTATAGCTTTACATACACACAACAGATAAATACAGTGGACCCCCGGTATTCGATATTAATCCATTCCTGAGAGTTCATAAAATACCGAAAATATCGAAAAGCGAATCAATTTTCTTCATAAGAAATAATGGAAATCAAATTAATCCGTGCAAGACACCCAAAAGTATGAAAAAAAAAAATTACCACATGAAATATTAAGTTTAATGCAATACATAGAATAATTACAATAACAACAATAACAATAGAATAATTGACACTTACCTTTAATGAAGATCTGGTGATGATTGATGGGATGGGAGGAGAGGAGTGTGGATGGTGTTAGTGTTTAGAAGGGGAATCCCCTTCCATTAGGACTTGAAGTGTCAAGTCCTAATGGCTTATGTCCTGGGAGTGCCTTTTCCTCCTGAGTAATGTAGGTCCTGCTTGGCATTTTCTTCCAAAACAGGCCTGTTTCGTCGCAATTAAACACTTGCTCAGGTTTAAATTCTGCACTGTCTATGTAATCCTTGAATTCCTTCACATATTTTTCAGCTGCTTTTTGGTCCGAACTGGCAGCCTAGCCTTTTCACAAATGATCGCTTGAGAGATGCTATCTCCTGCTATCTGTTTTTCCATTTATCCACACCAATAATAGTCTCTCAACATTTTCTAACACTTGCGGTCGCTGTTTCGTAATCACAGTTGCACCTTTTGCAAGAACAGCTTCCTTGATTGCCATTTTCCTGGTCACTATAGTAGAGATGGTTGATTGGGGTTTACTATACAACCTGACCAGCTCCGACACACCCACTCCACTTTCGTACTTTGCAATTATCTCTTTCTTCATTTCAATAGTCATTAGCACCTTTTTTCTTGAAGGGTTGGCACTAGAAGCTTTCTTGGGGCCCATGGTGACTTATTTTGCAGAAACAAGCACCAAAAACAGTGATAATATGGAATGTACCGAATGTATCCTTAGATGCACGCACACTGGCTGGCTTGTAAACACTGGCACACGCGGGGCAGTTCAGGCCACATGTGGACACGTCTCGTACGAATCGTATCGAATACTGGGTTTTCAATCGGATACCGAGGCAAAATTTTTGCGATAAAATGCATCGAATACCGGATTTATCGAATACCGATGCCATTGAATACCGGGGGTCCACTGTACATACAGTAACAAATTAATAATACAATAGATAAACATTTAAATAAACATTAAAAATAACATTTACTTAACCTTTATTGAAGAGACTTGCTAGCACCTGGAAGATAGGGAAGAGAGAGGGAGGACTTAATGTTTGGAAGAGGAATCCCCTTCCAAAAAGACTTTAGGTAACAAGTCCCTCTCTGGGGTTACTTCCCTTCTTTGTCTTTTAATGTCACTAGAACCAGCTTGAGAGTCACTGGATCCCTGTCACACAAAATAACTGTCATGAGTGCTGTTTCTGGGGTCTCTTTAACATTTCCCTAAAATGGGACATGGTTCTGTCACTGAACTTGTTGCAGAGACGGCTTGTTTCAGCTTGCTCAGAGTGGTACTTCTCGACAAAACTTTGCACATCATTCCACTTTGCACAGATCTCCTTAATCATTGAAGAAGGCACCTCTTTCACTCACTCTTCCTCTGAAGCAAGTTCCTCAGCTGTGGCCTGTTGCTGTTCCAGATGAAGCTCTTGCAGCTCTATAGTGGGTAGCTCTTACCTGTGGTCCTCCACCAACTCTTCCACCTCCAACCCCATGGACTTGCCCAATGCCACAATAGAGTCCACAACAGTCAGAGGGTTGGCAGGGTCAGGGTCAGCCTCAAACCCTTCAAAATCCCTCTCTTGTACACATTGTGGCCACAATTGTCTCCAAGCAGAGTTCAAAGTCCTGGAAGTCACCCCTTCCCAAGCCTTACCTATAAGGCTTATGCAATGGAGGATAATGAAGTGATCTTTCCAAAACTCTCTTAGGGTCAAATGAGTGTCTGAGGTCACTTCAAAGCACCTTACAAACACTGCTTTGGTGTAGAGTTTTTTGAAGTTAGAAATGACCTGCTGGTCCATGGGGCAGAAGAGAAGAGTGGTGTTAGGAGGCAAGAACTTCACTGTTATAAAACTGAAGTCCTTAGACAATAGGTCTTCCAAGTTTGGAGGATGAGCAAGCATATTGTCCATTACCAGGAGGCACTTGAGTGGCAAATTATTTTCCAGGAGGTATTTTTTCACACTCAGGCCAAACACTTCACTGACCCACTCTTTGAAAATTTGCCTCGTGACCCATGCCTTATTATTTGCTTTCCACAAGACACACAATTTATTCTTGATGACATTGTTTTTCTTGAACACACTGGGATTTTCTGAGTGATACACCAATAAAGGCTTCACTTTAAAATCCCCACTAGCATTAACAAAGAACAAAAGAGTTAGCCTGTCTTTCATAGGCTTGTGTCCTGGCAGTGCCTTTTCCTCCTGAGTAATGTAGGCCCTCTTTGGCATTTTCTTCTGAAACAGGCCTGTTTCGTCACAACTGAACACTTCTTGTTGTATGCAAAACAACCACTGTGGAAGAATAGAGAAATTCCAAGTGCTTTCGTGACTACTCACATTATCAAGGAACAATAAAAGTAATGCATCAAAGGAAGGCATATAAAGTATAGACCACACCTCACTATCACATCCCACAACAAAGCAACACCTGACAAGCGACTCATAAGAAAGAGAACACTGCAGCAGGCCCGCTGGCCCAACTAGACAGGTCCTTCACACAACCCACAAACAAACTAATCTACCCAAGAATTAAGAATTTTAAAATTTATTATTTGTCCAATGTATTATTAAATTCTTCCCAAATCCTATTAATTATAAATGGATCTAATTTATATAAACCAAAGGAAATATTCATATTATTGTCAAAACTGCTTTTTATGAAACAAAATTCAATTATATTCCTGTCGACCATGGACTTGCTTGATACAACTTTCTCAACTTTTTGAAAATCAATTGGATGGTTAAAATCTCTCACATGAAGTTCTAATGCTTTATTTATGTTGTTTTAATCTTAGTTCGAGACTTTTACCAGTTTGACCGTAATAAACTTTATCGCAAATTTTACAAGGAATCTTATACACACATCCATCAGCATTTTGGGGGGAATTCTTTATCAAAAGTTTTTTTTAATTGTATCAAGATTTTTAAATACAACTTTGATATTAAAAGTCTTAACCCCTTCAGGGTCCAAGGCCAAAATCTGAAGTGATGCTCCAGTGTCCAAGAAATTTTGAAAAAAAAAAAAAATTATTTTTCTTATAGAATTAAAGAGTATATTTTTGTGAAGGTAACAAGACAAAAAAAAAAATTCTGATTAGTACTTACCGAGATACAGTGCTGAGAAGTTGACCCAAAATGACCTGGTGGCGGCAACATCGACGATTTCCACATACGCCCATTACTTTATTTAATGTTTTTTGTAGTTTTTTTCTTTTCTTTTCTAATTTTTTTCTTTTCCTACTAACATTTGGGGCCTGAGAGACCAATACTGTATATAATGTATATATATAAACTCACTGTATTGAACACAATAATCGCACTAAAGTTATTATCATATTATTGTTTACCACTTTTGTTTATTACAATAAACATGCACAAATCTTGTATAATACTAATGTTCTATCATATATTTACATATTTACAATCACTGGACATGGTTTTAGAACTGCTGGAGCTTGTGGAACTCCTTGAAACAAAACACCATACACAGAGGCACCTTACATTCCTCACACATAAACTGAGTGTCTTTGCGTCTTCGTTGCCATCGTTTTGTTTGTGCACAGACAACACATCTCTTCTGAGCAAATTTCTTCTGAGTTGAAGGAAGCTGTATTATGAAATGATCACCTTCCCTCCTCAAACGCTTGGGTATTTTCTGAGGAGTTTGAGGATGGTTTTGTATAGCAGGTACTGTTACCTGGTACTTCATTATGAGTTGACTGACAACAGACAAACAAAATTCACCATACGGTGGTCTGTTGCCAGTCTTCATTTGGTACATATTATATGCCTTGAGCATTGAAATGTCCATGAGATGGAAGAAAAGTTTCATGTACCACTTGTAACTTATAGGAAGGGTTGTTGAGGTGGTTCGGACATGTAGAGAGAATGGAGCGAAACAGAATGACTTCAAGAGTGTATCAGTCTGTAGTGGAAGGAAGGCGGGGTAGGGGTCGGCCTAGGAAGGGTTGGAGGGAGGGGGTAAAGGAGGTTTTGTGTGCGAGGGGCTTGGACTTCCAGCAGGCATGCGTGAGCGTGTTTGATAGGAGTGAATGGAGACAAATGGTTTTTAATACTTGACGTGCTGTTGGAG